GCATTGGCTGGCATCAGCTCCACTCATTACCCAGAGCTTGGGGAGGCGGCGCCCGTAAAAGGGGAAGACTGTCTCCTTCTCGGATTCATCACATCCCTCTGTGATCGGACTGAACTCTGAACCAGGTCAGTGACTATTGCTTTAGTAGTTAGCAGCCCTTTATTCTTAGTCACTGACCCGAGTTTTTGTTTCTACAGAGGATCAGGTTTATCCATATCCTAGCTGACCTGCGCACCATGTTGACCCCCACCCCGGACCCGCTGTACTTTGGAAGTAGCTTTTTCCTGAAATGAGAATATATATATATTTTTAGATTGATTAGAGCCAGTATATAAACATATGTTTTAATAACACTGTTCCCCCTCATGTTACTTTGTTTCCTCAGCCCACCGGGCATGTGCCCTGTTTTAATTTCAACGTCCTTAAATCATACCGGTCCCAACACGTACTCTCCGGCCGAAGCGCCTACCTTTGACAGTAAATAACTCAAGGAGCTCAAAAAGTAATACAATGTTAACTACCTAAATGATGCATGCAGTATATATAGCCGTTCCTTTTAATGCACATCCTTGCAACGGTTGGCATATGGTGTAATTTTCTATTTCTTCAAACTGTAAAATCCTTGCAACAAACTAATTTATAATAAAACTAAAATGCTTTCTTTAAACCAAACTACGATGTTCTTCTTATATTTGGTGAATCTATGTTTGAATACTTTGCAAAAATATGTTGCGCTGCATGATGGGGTTTTGCATCTAAAGGCTACGTTTCCCGTCTTACGTGCATTGTTGCCAGGTTGGGATGTTTCCTAATCTGGCACTTTTTGATGTCTGTCTTACAGGTAAAAACTTTTTTTCCTTAGAAAAAAGCCTTTATGGCCTAATAGATCAATAGACTTTGGTTTAAATTGGGCAAGATTTCGTATATATAGGCGGTTTATGAAAATTGTTTTGGCCGGGTAACATGAGTCAGTGACCTCTGGGAACCCTGCTGATGTGGTGAGTGGGGACGTTACGCAGCAGCAGTCACAAACCAAAGCCAGTAAAACCACATTATAGAAGTCTTGGTGATGCTTGTCGTATGATGTTTGAAGATGGAAGTGTTATATGGAAGCAAATCATTACCATATTTCAAACGAAAAAGCATTTTCAGAAATCTTTTTTCATTTTAAGAATTTGGCTGGATTGTTTGTATGTATTTGCTGGGGTACATTTTAAAAAACAAATCTCAAATGTCTTTTTCTTTTTCATTTTAATTAATATATTTGTTGATTGGCCTCAGCACAACCGATATTTCTCTCCAGGACTGTGTCACAGCCAAAGTGAAACAGACCAGATGAAACTACTATGAGAAAAAGCAGAAAGAGCATCACATTAGAGATTGAACAACCAAATTCTGCAGTGTGTGAATAGAGACAGAATAAAGCAGAATGATGAAAAAGGGGTCTCTTTGTCCTCCATATTTGGATAACCTGAGATGCTCTAACTATAGAGCATAGTGCTTTGTTAGGAACATAAGGACAATCATATCTCCGTTATAAGATGGAGCTTTGACCATTTAAGGGTTTATAAGTGAAAAGAAGGACTTTTAGAATTCTATTCCAAAAGTTAAAAAACAATCAACTGGACTTTGTTTTCAAGTTTGAATATATTTCCCATTCAGGAACTCCCATTCAGGAAGCTTTTTCAATTCAAAATGTTAGAAATAGTGTTGAGTTTGAGGCTTTATAGAGTGTTTTGGCTTAGAAGACATGCAAATTGAACCATACGAACAGGACTACTCCTTAGGAATGGGCAGTCCTTCGGGTTCTTTGTTAACCTGCAATATCAGATACATGTCTATGTCTCTGAAAGGAGGGTCGTTATAGGGAATTGTTGGCCTGGCTGAACAGGCAAGGTGTTCTGTTCCCTTGTATGGGGATGAGGGTTGCGATGATAGCAGGAAGGAATCAACTCTATCTCCGGACTGTACTGTCGGTTTTTGAAAGCTGAAATCTGAGTCCACCCCCTGTGTTTAAGGTTGTTTTTTTCTTTCTTAACATAGACGGCTTCCTTCACCCCCCCTCTCAAACCACCTGTCTTCTTTGTCCAAAATGTGAACTTTCTGGTCCACAAAAGAGTGTCATTTGTTCATAAGGTGTAGATGCACCGCCGAGTCTTCTCTTGAGGATTTTAAATTCTATTCTGAATTTAACAGGAAGCCAATAAAGAAAATCTAGGATAGGAGAGATATTATATCTCTTTTTAATTTTCATCAGAACTCTGGCTGCAGCATTTTGGATCAGCTAAAGGCTTTTAACTTCAGTTTGTGGACTTCCCGATAGTAAACAATTATAATAATCCAGCCTTGAAGTAACAAACACAGAATAATTAACTAGTTTCTTAGCATCACCCCTGAACTCTGATGATCCTGGCACTGGAGCTCATTCTGCCTCCAATTAACTCTCTGGTTCAGTCTCCACCCTCTCTGCAATTATCTCTACTGGTTTCCTCTGTCGCCACCTGCATATAAGCTCCGTCCTTATCAATATCCAGTGCCAGATCATTTCGAACCAGCCCGGTAAGAACCTTCCAGCCTTTAACATTGTGAACCTGCCTGCCTGCCTGCCTACCCATCTGTGCTTCTGAACCCTTTTCTGCCTGTGAGTACCTGAGCCCGCCTGCCCCCTTTACTCTCTGTGTTTATCAGGAGATTGGACCTGGAACTGGAATCAGAAATATCTGCTAGATGACACCCTCTTGTACCTTTGCTGCTTTATTGGATCCCGTTACCGAACCTGGACTGTCTCTGGACTAAAGCTCCTGGAAACTCGACAGTTTGTCGACCGTTCAACGGTTTGCCCCCGCAAACAAGTGGACGTCTCTGTCCATGAAGCCTTCTGCCTGTCTCTGGCTTACACTCAGCGGTCTGGCTCACCTCGTTACCAGGTTAGTCCTTCGTCAACTCCTCAATTCTAACCTGCCACTGCAGCCTCTAACCTGTCCCTCTGCCTCTAAGACATTGGCTGGTTATCGCGAGCCAGTGCAGTTTAAACACTGCTTGTTTTTCAATAAATACTTAAAACGTCATTGACATGTAGTGGTTAAATCTTTGGTCCGAATCCAGTACATTACATGGACAGGATATTTGTAATTTTTGCAATATTCCTCAGATGAAAGAAGGAAATTCTAGAACCCTCTTTGATATGGGATTATCATTTCTGTGATTCATCATTATATTAGATTTATCATTTCTGTGAACAAACTGAAAACAGTCAGACAGATACAATTTAACCCAGTCTAGTGCTGTCCCTCTAATTCCTACAAAATATTCAAGTCTTTCTAAAATAATATTATGGTGAACTGTGTCAAATGCAACACTGAGTCCATTATCTGAGGCCACGAGAATATCATTAGCGACTTTCACCAGAGCTGTTTCAGTGCTATGATGAGCTCTAAAGCCAGACTGAAACTCCTCAAAAAGTTCAACATGGTGAGCGCACACCTGTTTGGTAACTACTTTCTCAAGAATTTTAGATGAGAAAGGAAGATTAGATATAGGTCTATAATTACAATACTTTGGGTCAAGAGATGGTTTCTCAAGTAAAGGTTTAATTACAGCGACCTTAAAGCCTTTGATACATATCCCTGTAACAGAGATTAATCACATCTAAAATGGAGGAGGAGATCAAAGGGAATACCTCCTTAAATAACCTGGTTGGAACTGGATCTAACATAGAAGCTGAAGACTTGGATGAAGATAATAGTTTTGCTAACTCTGAAAGCACAGCCTGGTTTCATGGTTACAACTTGGTGCTGCGTTCTGTATTTGGTGTTTAATAGGTTTGTGGTTTTAACAAAAGTTTCAAAGGAATTGATGCTGTTCTTTTATTGAGGTGGTGGGGTTGCACATTATTTTTGGGCTGGAAACACACAGATCTGACAGCCCTGGCAACAAGGAGTGAGTGAAATAGCTGGCTATATATTTAAGAAAATATAAGATAATTTCTGGCAACAATAGTGGACGATTTATTTAAAAATAATGTTAATTTAAAGTATTATTTACAAATAAATAACTGCTTATACTATCTGTACCAGAGTTATTATAAGCAGTTTTTTTTTCCCATCCTTGGTTTCCTCCTGGCGCTGCTGCTATTGTATTAGCCATTACTTTCCGGCTCAGAGTCTGAATATGTAGGCGAGACATTAGCTGTTGATTAAGGTGTGATGCTTCCTTATTCATCAGCGTAACTACCTGAGCTTAAACTGGTTGACGGTAAAACACAAACCAATTCCAGACTAGATGTTCTGGAATAATCATCAACGTTTCCATCCATCTCGATTATAGAATGTTGAACTAGCTCCAAAAGATTTCTCCCTCTGACGTCTACACATGGAGATGGGTTTTTACAAGCTATTAATCATAATGCTGTTGTGGAGCTACTAAATATAGGATTTTTTGTTAAATTAGCCTCTTTGATTCATATTAATTCAGAGCCACCTGGTATGTCCTGCTTCATAATTTTAATACAAAATTATGTGAAATAAATATCACATCATCAGCAATTTAAGTTATGTTTATGCACTGATGTCAGATGAGTTATAGCTTGTCCCCACGTTGTTATCTGGAGCTCTTCTGTTATCTGGTGCTATGTGTTTGGTGTATTTGTGTGTTAGCGTCACTTATGTGCTTGCAGCATGTTTGCACTTTGCCTTCTCTGTTTTTCGTGATGGCAGATTTTCTGCTTAGCAGCTTTTTTGTTTTATTTTTGTAATTTCAGTTTATGTCATTTTTGTCATTCAAGCCTAATTCTTGTCTTGGCAGTATTTTAGTTTTATTAATGCAGTTATGCATCTACAGGGTGTTGGCACCCTTCAGCCACCACCTATCACCCTTTGCAAATTTCAAGAAAGATTTCAGTGTAACCATAGAGCTGCCTTTTTGTTCTTTACCAGATCAGACATTGTAAAAATTAGGCCATATAGATTTTTGACTCAGAAAAGACAAAATTTTAATGTGCAAGGAATGTTTATTGATAAACAGATTCTGAGGAAACAATACAGTCACAGGCACTATGTTGAGGGTGGGATTAAATCTAAAGTGCAAGTGCTGCAGAATATAACTGAGGAAGAAGAAAAAGAACCCTGTTTTGCCGTCTGCTTCAACAGGTCTGCTGTTGGGAAGCTTGACTTTGAAGGGAGAACTGATTCAGACAAAAAGGTGATTAGGAGCGAAGTTATAGATAATACAGAATTTATTGAGCATATATAGGATGTCAAATTTTTAATGCCAGACCAGCTGGAAATATTACTCTCATAAAAGGCAGCAGTGACCCAGGCGATGGTTAAAATGATGCCACCATGGAAAACATCCAAACAAAAAGCCTACACCATACTATGATTTTAGTATTTTGCTGTTGTTTCTTAATCCCAAGGGGTTCCCCTGACAAATTAATATGGACAGTTTGTGTTTTCAGCCTCTGTATTCTCTATACCCCACAATAACCTGAAACTATATACTAACTAATTAGCGTTTAGGATGATGAGATAGTTCTAAGCAGGTCGGCAGCACAAGCAGAACTCCCCACAGAGTCATGCTGGCTTTAGCACAACTCAGGCTGCGACTTCACTGCGCGACAGCGAAGAACTTTCAAGAAGCTGTCGATCTTGTGCGAGTCGCGTCGAAGGCAGGACAAGAGGAAATTGAACTTGTTTAGTATGGTCACCCGGTCCTGACCTAGGTCAGTCCCTCCGGTGTAAGGCAGAGGAGAGATGGCCTGAGCATCGGAACCCATCTAAAAATTTAAGGAGACCATTAGTGTACAAAATAAAAGCACCAAAAAAAAAAAAACAACAGGTGAGGAACTCCTCTCTGCTTTGCCCACCTTGCCTGACAGTATATCCAAGCCATCCGCCAAGGTCCTTGAGTGCTCCATCAGCTCATTGATCTTACTCGATATGCTGCTTTTTGCTGGGTGAGGCAGAGTGACGGCATTGTTAGAAAGGATCACCAGTGGATCAGCCCAGGCATGGAGCAGGGAGCGGGCCAGAGACATTAGAGCTGATTGCTAGAGAAGAAAACAAAATATTGAACAACAAAAAATGAGAAGGCTGTTTAAAGGAAAGTCTTTCGATAAAAGAGTCATGAAAAAGGTGAGTAACTCACAGACACTTGCAAAGTTTGCTCTTTCTCATTGGGGGTTTGTAGTGCAGATGTGTGGCAATCAGCAGGGCGTTGCATTAGTATCCTGCCATATGGAGGAAAGTGAGAGTCCTATGGGTAGAAAAGATTTATTGGAACCATACCAAGAGGAAAACATCTTTCCACAGTAGTAAACTTTCATATATTCTTAATATCTTTTTGACACAAGTACATCTGGTGATCTCACTGATTTAAGCAAGTAGCATAAAGATCTCACCATCTCCTGTGTGAGCAGTGTGCTCAGTGAGTGCATTTTATCTGAGCCCTGTGAGGCTCGGTCCAGCAGGTCATTGATTGGTACAGCTCTGCACATCACTACCAGGTACAGCACTGAGCAGGAGGCATGAAAAAGCAAGAGAGGATACAGCTTTTCAGGCATAGAGCTTTGAATATGGTTAGATTTTTTTTTTTTCATAATTGCCAATACCTATCAAGTATGAGTCAAATACCAGCAATAAAAAACAACAACAATTTTTTTTTTTTATGTTGTTCCTACAGTTTGAAGCCCTTTCATTGAGGAGAGCTGTACTCCCCTGGCCTCTGGTTGCTTTATATTTTGTGACAGCTGGCTGTATAAAGCTTTTACTACAAAGAAAGAAAATAATATAAGATTTTCTGTTTCAGGAAAACATTGAGAGTAATATTGTAGAAAATAAAAGCTGCAGTCTGAAAATAAGTTTTTTGTTAGAATACTTTTTAAGTGTCTTTATGAGACTTTAAAACAATACATTTTTTTTTTGCTAAAACTATTTCACCAGAAAAAGTCTTTGAGAATTAAAAAATTACAATAACAATGTGGTATTTTCATGAATATTATTCTATATTCTATATATATGTAATAATCTTTAATTATGATTGTAGATATAGATAGATTGTCATATAAATAGATTTGTTACTGTTGAAATCCACATTTTAGTAATTATTCAATGATGAAAATGTTGGTAACCATCTCACCTGTGATGAAGACTTTGCCTCCAATGATTTTTTTCTGAGCCATCTTCTTCTTTTTCTTGAAGTTTCTCTGGCTGTTCCTCCTGTTTGAGCGCGTTGCCTTTTTCGCTTTCTCGCTGCATTTTGCTTCCATTTTATAGGTCCTAGGTTCTGATACTTTGGTTATGCAGCAGGATGAGTCTGGGCTAATTGCCTAGAACTTGCTTAGACCAGTTTATAATGAGAAACATGGTGGAAGAGCTTTGAATGGATGCAGTAGGGTGCGTAAAGGTGCAGGTAGAAACGTGTGTGTGTGTGTGTGAGGGGGCTGGGGGGTTGTTTGTGTGCGTGTGTGTGTCTGTGCGCGTGTGTGTGTGGAGGGGGGTGTGCGTGTGTGTGCATGGCAGTGGAAAAAGTTCCTTCCTGATCTTGATTGAAGTGATGAATAAAAACAACACTTTTCACACTGCGTTTTAGAGGGTTTTACTCATTTGATGAGAACATCATTGATGACCACCTGGTCTCTCTATGAACCGTTTGGGACTTGAACTGTATTTGTCAGATCTGCCAGGGGTAAGATACAAATAAAAAATGTCACAATTAATTAAACACATGTAGAAGTGGCAACAGTTCATTGAAATCTTGACTATTGCTATTCCTCATGCTTTTGTCATTTCCTCTTTGTTGTGTTACATACGAAAATCACTTCAACATCATCAAATTTGCAGACGACTAAATCATTTTGTCACTCCACAGCAGTGAGATTTCAGAAATTTTCCTTGTAGCAAGTGGCTTTTCACATAGGCACTAAGCTTTCTTTTAAAAAATAATGTGGTGAAAAGAAATTATTGTCATTTACATTTTCTTGTTGACAGAGTTTTGAACCGCATGTGTACTCAGTGGTACTTCATTTAATTTCTGTATTTATGAAGATGTTTTATTCCTCTTTTTATTGTGTCTGCTTTTGAAATAGTTGATGATGCAATATTAATTTAATGTATTTTTAAATTAACATCATATAGCAGGACATACCAGGTGGTTCTGAGTTATTTTGAACCAAAAACACCTATTTTCAACACAGGTATCCTAATTTTGGAAGCGCCATGGCAGCACTCTGATTATTAGCTAGTAAAGCCCCATCACCATTTGGCAACATCAGATGGAGAGCACTTTTGGAGTTCTATAATGGAGTCTGGAATTGTTATATCTGTTAAACCATCAGCCAGTTTAAGCTCAGGAAAGGATAGTATTGCTGAGGTATTTGGATGTATCACATCTTGAAGGTAGGAATCATCCAGAGACGACCTCTACCTTTCGGAGTCAGACTCTGAATCGTAGAGTAACAGCTATTATCACTGCAGCAGCTCTGCACATCACGTTCATGTTCATTTATAATACTTGAAATGAACATGAGTGTTAAAAAAATTATTCACAGCTGTTTTTAGAAATGATCTATTATGTTGTTGATGGTATAGCTAACAACTCCACCCACCCTTTACTTAACTCTTTTGAAATTAGCCTTGACTTCGGTACCACAAACGTTTTTGGTCACGGTCTAGAACAGCAGCATTCTATAAATGAAACTTCACATCAGCGTTTTTCTTTCCTATATATTTTATAAAATTGCTCTTACTCATTAAGATTTTATTGATCTCACAGTGGGAAAATTTGATTGTCAGATCAGCTAAATAGTTAAAAGAAGGTGCCAAAAGGACAAAACATTGCATGTGGTGTATGCAGTGTATAGTATCTACAGGTATATACAGTGCATGTAGCTCCATAGTCTTTCTTTGCCGCCCTGAGAGATATCTCGGGATAACCTGAGCAAATATCACTATGAGTTTCAAAAAAGCAAAGTTTTAGACCTAGCCTTAAAAGTAGACAGTAAGTCTTCCTCACAGACAAAAACTGGTATTTAGTCCGTGAGCCTGATAACTAAAAGGTTTGCCTCCTATTCTATATTTAGAAATTCAAGGAACCACTAGTAGATCTGCAGAGTTAGAGCAAAGTGCTCTGTGAGTAACATAAGGAACAGTCAGACCTCTGATGTAAGGTGGAGCTTGGCCATTTAAGGCTTTATATGTGAAAAGGAGGATTTTAAATTAAATTATTCTGGATTTAACAGGAAGTTTCATCTCTAAATCATTAGACTGAGTTGGCATATTAAATTGTTAAAGCATTGCAAAAAGTTCAATTGGTAGTATTGGTCATTAGTGAACTTAGTTTTTCTTTAAAGGAGATCCGTAGGATGAATAGGATGCTCCAGAAACTATAAAGGCTTTTACTGGGGTCCATTCTTTATAACCAGTAGATGTGTAGGATTGTCCTGATGGAAGACTCGGCCATGTTTCATCTTCAATGCTCTCAATGCTATTTTCATTTTTTGCTTAACATGGATCAGTCGTCCTGACCACATGATATTCTCCAAATCCACCCTTGGATTATTCATTTACTGTCCGGTAAACTTTAGAGAGGCCTGGACAAGTGCTGGCCTTAGCAGGGGGACACGTCTAGCACTGCAGGGCTCTCCCTTTGGAAATAGTGTGTTACTGATGGTAGCGTCTGTTACTTTGGTCCCAGCTCTCTGCAAGTCATTCATCAGGAGCCTCCATGTATTTCTGAGATTTTTGCTCCTTGGTCTCATGATGATTTTTACCTCACAGAACGAGATCTTGTAGGAACCCGAGATCGAAAGAGATTTTTCATGGGTTTTTTTATGTTTTCCAATTATTCCCAATTCCTCCCACAGTTGATTTAATCTCACCAACCCACTTACAGTATATATTGTAGATGAACTCTTCCCAGCCTGCTGTATGTGTAAAGTTTTCTTCCTGTGTTCTTCGATAGCCTTTTGGTCTTGGCCATGGTTTAATTTTTATGGCATTTTAAGGCTGTGGAAAGGTGTCTTTTATCAAAATAACCAGTTCAAACTGGTGCCATTATTACAGCTAATGAAAAAAAGACAGAAGAGTGTCTTAAAAATGGGTACAAGACAAGTCTATGAGGGCCAGAAACCTTGCTAGTTTTGGTTGACCAATTACTAGGGTGAGCAGACATCCTCTTTTTCCCAGACATGTCCTACATTTTTAATACCTAAAAAAATTTCAGAATCGAGGACTACAGTGTAGCACGTAGTCAAAACACACCGGACACTCGAAACAATCTGTCAGCTCTGGGGCTGGTCCAGGAACCGGACGGGGGCAGGGAGCCAGCAGAGGTGACAGAGTTGGGTGCATCCATCTGTGTTCAGAGTGCTTTGAGTCTGTGCTTTTTTTCCTCTTTCCCACTGCTCCTGTGTCCCGCATCTCGGTCTAACATCATCAGTTCTGTCGCTTTGAGACATCTGATTTGCAGTCGCATTTCACTGCTTAGAGAGTAGTTATGTTGTTGGAGGAGAGACACACAGCAGCACTCAGTGAATATTAACCAGCAGCTACTTTGATGTTTAAGTAAAAATTAGGAGACGGGTTGGTTAAAAAAAAGTTAGAGATGCCACTGAAAAATCTGTTTGTTAGACAGAGTTTTTTTCAGCTAAAAATGGCAACAGATTGTACGTTTAAACAAGTTAGTGTTATAATGCAAGAAGCTTGAGAAAACATAGTTTGTTCTTTTTTACTAGTTAAACATTTTTGGCTTCTCAGATGACCATGACTCCCAGTTACAGGTTAAAATTAACATGTTTTTTGTGTTGTACAGACAGAATCAGACTGCAGAGCTTCTACATATCTTAAAATTTTGTTTCTGGCATCATTATATTCTTAAAGAGATTCATACATCTTTTTAAACAGAGCACAGAGAGAAGCGGGGAGAGCCGCAGATTTAAAAGTGAAACAGATTTACTGCGATATGCAACATGCAATAAAATATATCTCCAAGTTTACAACAAAGTTTAGAAGAAAAAAATATGCCATGCTATATTTAAAATGCATCATATCCACTTTTTTTTTTGGATGGAATTGAAATTGTACTTCTAGGGATTCGTCAATTTTGGCATTGGAATCAGCTCTTATCAATTATTTTTTTCATGCATTGATGTGTTTGGGCCCTATATTTGTAATGCACTAAGGCCCCGTCCACACGAAGTCAAAACGAACACGAAACGCTAATATTTTCCAGACCGTTTGTCGTAAAGACGGAGACGTA